AATAAATATTATGAAGCTAAAGTTAAATTAACCACAGAATACAAACTAAAAAGCCGAAAAGCAGCTGGTAATAAATTTAACCTTCCGTATTCAGATTATTCAGCTAATTGTACGAAATCTTGTGAATTTTGTGACAGGAGACCACAACATTAAAAAAGATAACTAAAATTAAATTAAAAATGAAACAATACATATTTTATTTATTTTGATTAGATATTTTTTTGTATTTATTGAAAAATAAATTAATCCTTCGTATTTTGTTTTTTATTCGAAGGAAAAATCAAAAACACTTAAAAAAACCGAAACACAGTGGCCTAATCTTAAAATGTAAGTCGTTTTAAAAACTAAGGCTCCGGCATCATAAAAGTAAGTAGACCTTTAAATTGGATAAATTCGAAAAACTTGAATAAGCCGAAACGCAGTGGCGTAATCTTAAAATGGAGGTCATTTTCAAAATCTACGGCTCCGGAAACATAAGAATACATCCTCATATGAAAAAAATCCGAAAAACTCAAAGAAATCGAAACGCGGTGGCCTAATCTTAAAATGGAGGTCGTTTTCAAAATCTACGGCTCCGGAAACATAAGAATACACCCTCATATGAAAAAAATCCGAAAAACTCAAATAAGTCGAAACGCGGTGGCCTAATCTTAAAATGGAGGTCGTTTTCAAAATCTACGGCTCCGGAAACATAAGAATACATCATCATATAAAAAAAATCCGAAAAACTCAAAGAAATCGAAACGCGGTGGCCTAATCTTAAAATGGAGGTCGTTTTCAAAATCTACGGCTCCGGAATCATAAGAATACACCCTCATATGAAAAAAATCCGAAAAACTCAAATAAGTCGAAACGCGGTGGCCTAATCTTAAAATGGAGGTCGTTTTCAAAATCTACGGCTCCGGAAACATAAGAATACATCCTCATATAAAAAAAATCCGAAAAACTCAAATAAGTCGAAACGCGGTGGCCTAATCTTAAAATGGAGGTCATTTTCAAAATCTACAGCTCCGGAAACATAAAAATACACCCTCATATGAAAAATATCCGAAAAACTCAAATAAGACGAAACGCGGTGGCCTAATCTTAAAATGGAGGTCATTTTCAAAATCTACAGCTCCGGAAACATAAAAATACACCCTCATATGAAAAATATCCGAAAAACTCAAATAAGTCGAAACGCGGTGGCCTAATCTTAAAATGGAGGTCATTTTCAAAATCTACAGCTCCGGAAACATAAAAATACACCCTCATATGAAAAATATCCGAAAAACTCAAAGAAATCGAAACGCGGTGGCCTAATCTTAAAATGGAGGTCGTTTTCAAAATCTACGGCTTCGGAATCATAAGAATACACCCTCATATGAAAAAAATCCGAAAAACTCAAATAAGTCGAAACGCGGTGGCCTAATCTTAAAATGGAGGTCGTTTTCAAAATCTACGGCTCCGGAAACATAAGAATACATCCTCATATGAAAAAAATCCGAAAAACTCAAAGAAATCGAAACGCGGTGGCCTAATCTTAAAATGGAGGTCGTTTTCAAAATCTACGGCTCCGGAAACATAAGAATACACCCTCGTATGAAAAAAATCCGAAAAACTCAAATAAGTCGAAACGCGGTGGCCTAATCTTAAAATGGAGGTCGTTTTCAAAATCTACGGCTCCAGAAACATAAAAGTAGACCTTTATATTGGATAAATTCTAAAAACTTAAATAAGTCAAAACACAGTGGCGTAAACATAAAATAGATGTCATTTTCAAAATTTACTGATCGGGAAACATAAAAATACACCCTTATATCGAATAAGTCAAAAAAACTTAAATGATTCGAAACGCAGTCACTTAATCTTAAAATGGAGGTTATTTTCAAAACTAGGTACAGGACAGCATAATACTAGTCCCTAATAAATCCGAATAGGTACAATAAATCGATATCCGTAAGTGAAAATTCTACTTAGGAGAGCATAATAATAGACTTTCATATTGGAGGGGGGGAGGGGATGGCCATTATTTAAAAAAAATATATAAAATTTACAAAAAATTAAAACATTAATTTGAAATGAAAACGGTTGAATTTGAATTGGAAAAGGTTTAATTTGAAATGGAAATGGTTGAATTTGACTTGGAAAAAGTTTAATTTGATCTGGAAAAGGTTGAATTTGACTTGGAAAAGGTTGAATTTGACTTGGAAATGACATAGAAATATCACACTGAAAAAATCTAAAATGTTAAAATAAATGGATATGCAACCGCGTTATCAAATTTTTTTTTGTATTTTTCAAAAGCTATGCCTTCGATAATATAGTAAGTGGCCTTCATTTCGAAAAAAATCGAAAATTGACAAAAATTCGAAAGTTGAATTTGAAATGGAAAAGGTTGAATTTGACTTGGAAAAGGTTGAATTTGTAATGGAAAAGGTTTAATTTGACTTGGAAAAGGTTGAATTTGATTTGGAAAAGGTTGAAATTGACTTGGAAATGCTATATATGTGTGCGTTTGATATTGGTAACATGAAATTGGGGATCAGAGAGGGAGAGACTACAGTGGATGAGATTTTTCGCAACGTTAATTTTTTGGTGGTAGGGATGTTTAGAATGGAAATTTAGGAGTCTGCCAGTGTAAGTTGGTTTAGTGTACCAGTCTGTGGATATGGTGTTATTGGGATTTTTATTGATTAGAAGGTCGAGAAAAGGGAGAGAATTATTGAGTTCGCGTTGTACTGTAAAATTGAGTCGGGGGTTGTAAGAGTTAAAATGTGATAGGATATCGGGAATTTTATTTGGATTGATGATTAGGAGGAGGTCGTCTACGTATTTTCGAATAAAGGTGATATCGTCAGGATAAAGAGGGATAATGGAGTCTACAAGATCATTGAGAACGATGTTGGAGATGTCGGGAGCGAGGGGGTTACCCATTGCTAGTCCAGAGATTTTGTTAAAAAATTGTCCTTGGAAAGTGAGGTAGCCTGATTTACAGCATAGATGAAGGGATTCGAGATATGAGAAGCGTTTAAGTGAGGTGTGAGGTTCAATGATAGTCCGATTGTCGTCTATTATAGTAAGTGCCTTGTCTATGGGTATGTTCGTAAATAAACTTTCAACATCGAAGGAGCAAAGAATAAAATTGTCTGGAATGGTAAAGGAGAGTAGCTGTTCACGGAGATAAAATGAGTTTTGTACATCATAAGGGTTGTTGTGGCTGAAGATTTGTAAATTATTGTGGTTCATTTCAAGATTCCTAGCAAGTTCTTAAAAATTATGAGGCTTACAATGAACAATGTTAGTTGCATGGTTCAAATCAGTGGAGAGCAGTCGGAAAAATTCTCCTCAGGAAAAGGATCACGCCAGGGAGACACTTTGGCCTCCCTTCTCTTTGATCTTGCACTCGATAAAGCAGTGAGAGACATTGGCATACAGATCAATCTGTCCACTTTAGTGGGCGGGGTGGCCGAATGGACTAAAGTGTGTGCACTGCACCACCGTTGCCCGGCAACCTGACATATGAATCAAAGATATAAAAATAGTCACGAGTTCGCGTCCCGATGCCGGGGGTCTTTTAAATCCCCGCTCACACCCCCTGGCCCGGGAAAATCCTGTATAGCCTTAACAGCAAGGAAGGGAAGGACCCAAAAAAAAAAAAAAGATCAATCTGTACAGTTCCTTGCATACACGGATGTTATAGACATTGTAGGACGCTTCTTCCAGGCTGTACCGGACACTTTTATTGCTTTAGTCTGTCTTGCAAGAAGACTTGGCTTGAAAGTCAACACTGCCAAAATAAAATATATGGTAACATGATAGGTTCCTAGGCCTGGAGAGGAGGTAACCAATTCGAGAAGACTAATGTTTGTTTATATCTCGGCTCGTTGGTAACTCAAGACAACGACCGTGAACAAGAGGTTCAGCGAAAGATCATAGCAGCAAATCGATGCTATTTTTCTATGGCAGAGCAGTTCCAAAGTAGAGCTTTCTCCAGAAGACCAAAGTAATGTCTTTATAAGATGATAGTGTGTCCAGTCTTGCAGTATGGTTCTTTAGACTACTTCTTCACGGGCTTGTGAACAGGAACTCCTAATTGATGGCAGAAGAATCCTGAGACTTATTTATTGTGGTGTTCTCATAGGAGGAGAAAAGAAAAGGAGAAAGAACCAGAAGCTGTACACCATGTTTAAGGTGCCTGATACAGTTTGAGTGATGAAGATAGCAAGATTGAGATGGGCAAGACATGTCAGGATGGGCATTGAGGATCAACCAAGACAACTGTTGATGGATACACTCTATGGTACCAGGAGAAAAGGAAGATCAAAGCTACGATGGGCTAATGTTGTTCCTCCTGATGCAATAAACATACTAAGGCTTCGGAATTGAATGACGGCTGCAAAGGGAACACTTTTTGGAAGCTGCTGGAAAAGGCCAGAACGACACCAGATTGTAGAGCCACACTAATAACAATAATCATATTCTTACTGGGTGGTTCCAATGAATGGTATATCAAGAATGTCAGACCTAGAGATTTAAAAAAAGGTGCTATCAGGAAAGATACATGGGACAAGGAGGCCTGGGAATGCTGAAACTACTTGTGTTTCAGCACTGAAACCCACTTCTGAGGTTTTAACACCTGGGAAGAAGGAGATATCTCATTTTGTACATAGGTTAGGTAATTGAAGGAATTACTTTTTGGAGTCCGTGCCTTTTTATTTATGGTTTTATTTTTGGAATACATATGATTATATACAAATAATTTGTATGAAGTTATATGGAAATTATTTACAGTTATATAAACAATAATGAAAATGCTACTAATGTAAAGTTCTTAATTGAAGTCCTAAGTCTAGAACTTGAAACTTGTTAAAATGAATGATTGATTTAATTTGTAAATTGAAAATAATGTAAATTGATTATTTTCAGTAAGTTTTTTATTAAATCATAATCTAACAAAATTATTGTTGTTTATAATTGATAAATAATTAATAAATAAAACTTGTTCCGTTATTTTTTAGGTGAAACACATTAGAAATATTGACACACACTTCTTATCTGCCCAAGAGTGTATAACTGCTGGGTATTTCCAAAACTTACACCCAAATCCTTGTAAGTTTTCCCCTACTGGTTACTTTGGCTCAAAGTTCACTACTGTGTGTGTCACAGGTATGTCTTATTCGATTTTATATCATTGGTTTATTCCAAAAAGTCATTAGCATCCTTTTTCATGAAGCCAATCTTATAAGTGGATATTTATGAATTTTGGTCAAACTTATTGATGCAAAAATTAATTAAGTGCACAATATTTTGATTACACAAAGAAAATATTTGTTCTATTACTTAGTAATTCAATATATAAAATGTTACTTAATGACTTTTTGCAATCAGCCTTCATATTAATATATGCCTTTATATTTCATTTTTATGTTAAAACATTTTTTTTTTTCAAAATCTATTAAATATAGAATGTATATATATACCTTCTTCTTCTTCTTCTTCCTCCTCCTTGTGCCTTTCAGTGTGGAATTGCCTCAGTCCATGCCAGCCATGCATTCTAGTCTCTGGCCAGCGCCTTCATGGCATTCAGCCTGCGTCCTCTTAGCTGTCCCATCTTAGAGATGTGGTCCGTCTACGTTAATCAAGGTCTGCCCCGGGGACGTCTTCCAGTTGGCCTAGCTTCAAAGTACTTCCTTGGATCTCGATCTTCCTCCATTCGGCAAAGGTGGTCAAACCATTTCAGCTGCCTCCTCTCAACCACTTCTTTTACAGCTGAAACTCCCAGGTCCTCTCGTATTCGCTGACTAACCAGATCTCTTCTGGTTCGGCCAGCCACTCTCCTCAGGTATCTCATTTCTGCGGCTGTTACTCGGCTCTAGTGCTTGTTCAGTGGGACCCAGCTATTGCTTCCATAGAGAAGAGTAGGTAGGTATATAGCCTTGAAAATGTGCAGCTACACGTTTTTGTCCAATTCCCTCTTTCCAGCAATTGTATTGCATAGTTGGTAGTAGACATTATTTGCCTTTTAGATCCGGTTGGAAACTCCCCCATCAATCTTTCCATTCCTGCTGATGGCTGTACCGTTATATTCCTCAGTCTTCTCTAAGATTTCTCCTCTGCATCGAATCTCCACATTTTCTTCATTTCGTCCTATACACATTACCTTGCTCTTATTTGCATTGAGCATCATTCCCTTTCTATCCAGCTCAGCTTCTCACTCTATGATTGCTTGCTGGAGGTATTCTGTTAAATCTGTTATGAGAACAATGTCATCTGCAAAAACCATAGACTGAGCCAGGTCATCATACTCCATTTCCCAAAAACTGTCTGTGCTGTCCTATTGCATAGTTTTAGGATTTAATGAATATGGTTAACAGTAGAGGGCTAAGACTGCCTCATTGTTTTAATCCTTTTTTCATTTCGAAAGGTTTAGATTCTTTTCCGTTAATTCTTATTACGCCCTTTGTGTTGCAGTATGTGGATTTTATAGCATCTATTAGTGCATTGGCTACATTTTTGCGGCTAGAGCTACCCATATTTCTTGTCTAGTGACCGAATCAAATGCTGTCTTGATATCAAGAAAAGCTGGAAACATGCTTTTTTCTCGTTCCCATGCCTTTTCAATGATAGTCCTGAGGGAGAATATGGGTCCTGGATCTGGTGGTGTGGTCTGAATGCTGCCTGCTCTTCTTCTCGAGGTTTCCTTCTACGATTTCTCTCAACTTATGTTCAAGGTTGAATATATAGAGCTTGTAAACCACTTGGCAGAGACATATAGGTTTGTAATTCTTGCAGTCACTAGAGCTTCCTTTCTTGTGTATAGGAATGAGGATGTTGTACTCCCACTCCTTCGGCACAATTTTTTGGGAAAAAGCTGCTTGAAAGAGGTCCTGCAGTTCTGCTCCTCCAAACTTAATTAGCTTTGGGGCAAGGCCATCGCTCCCTACTGCTTTTCCGGTCTTTAGCTTTTCTATAGCCCTTTCCACATCCTCTTCCCAGATTATATCATCGTAATCTTTATCTGGTAATAACCTATTTGCAGCTGTTTACTCGCATTCATTGGAAAACACTTCAGCATAATGGCGGTTCCATCTCTTCAAGAATTCTTCATCTCTAGGTACCAGTAGTCACTAGAAGATCGCTGCTATTCCACATATGGTTTCCGCTGTTTCCAGGATAGCTTTTTTCATTTCTGCCCATTTGCTGTCCACATTTCTATCCATTGTGCATTTCTGAGTCAGGAGTTTGTCATACTCTATTTTCTTCTTAAAATTTTTCCTTGGTTGGTAGATCTGAGTGTCTCCAATCAAGAGATTATGGTCTGACCCTATTTCTGCCCTTCTTATGACTTTTACATCTCTAAAATATCTTCTGTATATAAAATAATCTATTATGCTATTTGCATTTCTTTCCTCAGCAGAAAACATGATCTTACGGACTAGTTTATGTTGAAACATGGAGTTCGCGATAAGAAGATCATAATCTATGCAGAGTTCTTTGAGCCTCTGACCATTTCTATTCCTGGTATGCTCACCTCCATGTAGTCCCATTACACTGTGTGCTCTAGCATGGTTTCTTGCAGTCCTTGCATTTTGGTCACCCATTATAATAATGGCTCTGTTTTGGTTTTGAACTCTTATGATTTCTCTTTCTAGATCCGCATAGAATTGTTCCCTATCCAGAACATCACCATCGTCGGTTGGGATGTATACTTGCACAACACTTACTCTTCCTATTGATATTTCCATGTTCACCGCTATTATTCTTGAAGAGATTGGCTCCCAGTCTTCTACTTTGGCAAACAGCCTTTCAGTCATTATTCCAACCCTCTCCTAACCGAATGTATATACTAAACATTTCAATATATTTTTTTCTGAGAGGCCTTTTTTTTTTTTTTTTTGCAATGTGAAGAAAAAAATGGCTTATTATTTTAGTAGTCCATGGTTCCTGATAGATTTTGTTGTGTATTCATATAATCTATATTCTTTCTTTGAATAATCACATTAAGGATGCTGAAATTGATATTTACGATTCTCTGTTAACTCTTCAAGAACTTATAAAACTGTGTCTTGATTAATTTTGACTGTTTTCAGAAAAAAATATGTCGAAATTTCATGGATTTTTTTTTCCAATATTCATTAAATGAGATATTTCCTTTATCACTCTGTACCAGAGGTGTGGAACCTGTGGCCTAATTGAGCTAGCTGCTCTGCTGCCTCTGTTAGTTTTTCAATGATCTCCGTTAATCTAGTGCTACAATTAATTATTATTTAATTATTTTGGTCTTGAAAATTTGAAAAGTAATTGAATTAAGTTGAATATATGTGTGTAATTTGTATTTCTATTCCATTATAAGTAAAAATAGCAACAGCTAAATATAAGAAATTATTGCAGCCTCCATTATCACATCCTTATCTTGCTGCGGCCTCTAATGATAAAAAGGTTTCCTGTCTATGCTCTGTGCAAGATGTCTCCAAACTTTTTGTCTCCACATCCACTATGTTTCGCAGGCCGCATTGAAACCTTTATCTAAGTTCCGCGAGCCATGGCTTGTGATGAAAAAAAATTTTGTTCTATAAATGACACTTCAGTTGTGAAACGAGATTTCTAAGAGAAAAAAAAAATGTGATAAATGTTGTAGTAACCTCTTGTATGAGTAATTTGCTAAATTTTCTTATTTTTTAAAACTTAACCATGTCATTAAAGAAACTTTCGTGGGTTGTAGTTTGGAGACTCCAGCTCTACGCCATTAACTAGCATTGCCTTAACGGTTTTTTAGATGAGCCATAGTCCTTGGCTTTATCCAAAGATTTTTTACTAGTCAGATTGGTAGAAATTTTAATCGTAATTTATATAAATTAAAATGTAAATAATAATAAAAACACTTATATTGATCAAAACAGTCCTACTTTATTTTATTTTTTACACTGACGTTTCAGCCCTTAAGCCATTTTCAAGGGATGACATCTTTAATAAATAAAAAAAAATAAATCATAGCCTAATTATACTTGTCCATTAATTATTATCATTTTATACTTATAACCACAGATATACACATGTACATAGGGGAAACCAAACGGTATATAAATGATAGAATGTACCAGCATCAGATCAGAAAGCTCACTAGAGCTAGCCCGAAAGGCAACATGCTTTCATATGTAACATGAGCTTAAATATACTACGGACTCCGACAATATTATGTAGATGTACATATGCGGTTTTCATAAAGCTGTTGTTAGTATTATTTAATATTTAATTTTATATAATACAGCAATATAAAAATTAAAAGTTGTCTATGTAAGGGTATTTAAACAAATAAAAATACCCACAATGAAATGTAAATAAATATAGCATCAATAATTTTTATGTTCACTTCTTCTTTGTCTGAAAATACTTATTTCTGCTAAGAAGAGGGTGTTAAGTGAAAGTCGTGTGATGCACGCACAGATTTTTTTTTTTTAAATTACATAAATTGTTAAATTACATAACTTCAACATCATATGACTCTGCCTATCCATATGAAAATTAGCAGAAATTAAGAGTCCTATGAACTACACTCCCCATCAAAAGTATTGCAACACCCATAATTTTCGAGATTTTCTTTTGACCTTAATCCATACTTTTTTTCTATTTATAGTAATATTATTTACTAAATGGGAGACATTAGGGATTAGGCACATCATTGTGTCTAATGAAGACCACAAAAATTCTTTATGTTTTACCGTTGCTATTTTTATTTATCACTAAATACACACATGCAAAATACATATATTTAATTTGACTCTATTTTCAATTTTTTTTAAACTTAAAATTATTAAACATTTATTAATCCCAGCACTAGATTAATATATATCGTGCCAAAACGATTGGAGGCCGCAGTCATGTCATGGAGGCCGCTGGTTCACCACTTGGTGTACATAGTTACTAAATCAGTAACTAAACAATATTAAACTCTTCCTTCGTACCAAATAGGGTAATTCCCTTCATTTAATAAAACTTCCTGTGGCTCTAAGCTTCTTACAGAATCATGATTTCTCAGTCGTACCTTTAAATTTTTAAGCATTTCGACTAATCACACTTCTAATGATTAATGTTCCTACATTTTAGTCTCTTATTTCCACTTGCTTAACTCCAAGTCATAAATCTCCTAAATAATCCTGAGAGCTGAAAAGCAATAATATGATTTTATTTGGTGGTGTCATTGAAGTGGTTTTTGTCAAGTAAGGTAGATTTGTATTCACCATGATCAGTTGATGATTTAATTGTCTAGTCTTAGCTCCTTCCTTTTTGAAATATACTAATTATATAAATGAAGTGGATCATTGATTTCACTAATTATAACAATTTTCCATTTTGATACTTCTTGATTGTTCACACTGACAATGAAATAGAATATTTGATGACTTGAACTATGTCCCTTCTTATTTACCTCTTAATATTAAAGTATGTTAACAGTTTTTTCACAAAATTTATGCAATTCCTTGAAATGGAAATTACTTTAATTTTAAAAATTCTAGAAAGATTAAATTCTATGTGGTTGTATTTTAAACATCCATTTTATTTTCAAATTATTAGATATCTTATATATATTGATATCTTTAATGAAATTATTTTTTTTATTCAGGTGATGCTAGAAATCAAGTCCACATGGAAGGTTATGCTGTTTCTGCGCAGTGCATGTCCCTTGTCCGTGACCAGTGCCTCATCCCTACCAAAGATCTCCCACAGCTTGGCTACATTAAAGAATCTAGTGATAAGCAGTATGTTCCAGATGTATATTATAAGGTCAGTGGTTTCTATTTCTTTCTGCTTTCTTAATTATTTGTGTTTGCTAATGATGGTATATTTTATTAAGAAGACTCTCAAGTAAAATATTCATGCGGATTCACTTCAATATTCATAGTTATTTAATAAAACATATAATAATATGTTTATACTTCAAAATTAAATCTTCTGTTTAATGGTTGAGAAAGTTTCAAAATTGAAGATTATTTTATGAGAAGGAGTTAGTCGAGGGTGCGGTCAAATAAATAAAAAAATTAAAATATATAAATTATTTTAATTTTTGCCGACGTTTCGACCCACTTTGCAGGTCGTCTTCAGGGCTACAAAAGATACAAACATGTTGAAAAAATAAAAAATAAAATAAAAAATAAATATAAGTAAGTGGATAACAAGCAAGTGGAGGTTACCTTTAATTGTAAATAAACAGATAACGGGACTAAAGGTTAAGAAGTGAAGAAATTGGAAGATTAATAGGGTAACATTAGTGTAATATTGTTGGGATAGATTATTAAGTATAAATAACTCTATAAGAAAACAATAATTTTAAAAGAATACTTTAAAATCTAAGAATAAATGTAAAAACAAGGTTATGATGATAAAGAAACAAAAAACAGGTTGTACTATATATAGATGACAATTGACATTTAGTTTTTTGAAAGCGGTAATGGAATGGTAGGCTGCATGAAGATATTAATAAGGTGTATAGTTGAAGGATAGGTGTGTTAAGAAAAGAATCACAATAAAAGTCAAAACATACCGTAGAATGTGGCACTGCGGGAGGCAGTTGAAACACTGGCAATGTCAAAAACTCTAGTTAGCAGTGTCAAAAAAAAGTTCTAGTAAAAATAAACGCATACATACATACACATATATACACATACAAACACACATATATATATATATACACACACAAGCATACATATATATAAATATATATATACACACACACACAAGCATACATATATATATATATATACATATATAAAGTACTTAGTTTTAAGTTAAGACTTAACTTAAAAACCGACAAGCAAAATCTATTACTCGCCTACTCCCAAATCATCAACATTTTAAATAAGTCTCGATCATAAACCTCTATCTAATCTTCTCACTTCCATTTATACTTTCTTTTACTTCTTTTCCTTTCATATATTTTTTTTTGTTTTATTTTTTTTATTTTTTTTTTATTATTATTTTTTTTTTATGGATATGTGTTGTGTACATATATGTATATATGTATATATATATATATATATATATATATATATATATATATATGTATGTGTATGTGTTTAGGTGTGTGTGTATATATATGTATATATATATATATATATATATATATATATATATATATATATATATATATATATATATTTATGGATGTGTATATGTGTGTATATATATATATATATATGTATGCTTGTGTGTATATATATATATATATATATATGTGTGTGTGTGTGTGTGTGTGTGTGTGTGTTTGTATGTGTATGTATGTATGCGTTTATTTTTACTAGAACCTTTTTTTGACACTGCTAACTAGAGTTTTTGACACTGCCAGTGTTTCAACTGCCTCCCGCAGTGCCACATCCTACGGTATGTTTTGACTTTTGTTGTGATTCTTTTCTTAACACACCTATCCTTCAACTATACACCTTATTATTATCTTCATGACATCTATCTTCATGCAGCCTACCATTCCATTACCGCTTTCAAAAAACTAAATGTCAATTGTCATCTATATATAGTACAACCTGTTTTTTGTTTCTTTATCATCATAACCTTGTTTTTACATTTATTCTTAGATTTTAAAGTATTCTTTTAAAATTATTGTTTTCTTATAGAATTATTTATACTTAATAATCTATCCCAACAATATTATACTAATGTTACCCTATTAATCTTCCAATTTCTTCACTTCTTAACCTTTAGTCCCGTTATCTGTTTATTTACAATTAAAGGTAACCTCCACTTGCTTGTTATCCACTGATATCTTATTATTATGTTATCTTATCCATATTTTAACTTTACTGTAACAATAGTTATTCAATTTTCAATCTATTTATTCGTTAACATTCATTTATTCGTTAACATTCATGTATTTATTTTCTTTTATCTATTTTCTTATCATGTATTTATTTTCTTTATCTTTTATTTCTGTATCTGACAACTTCTTCGTATTTTATGTATACTTATATTTATTTTTTATTTTATTTTTATTTTTTCAACATGTTTGTATCTTTTGTAGCCCTGAAGACCTGCAAAGTGGGTCGAAACGTCGGCAAAAATTAAAATAATTTATATATTTTAATTTTTTTATTTATTTGACCGCACACTCGACTAACTCCTTCTCATATTATATCAACGGTCAACCATCTCTACATCATTATGAAGATTATTTTAGGTGGTTCTTTTTATTTTCACTTACCTATATATGTAATATATTGCGATCATGAAAAATTTTGAATCTGAGTTTTCAACGGAAACACACGTTTTTGGGTACCCTGAGTCCAAACAACCAAGTCACGAAAAATGCTCTGTGTGTGTGAATGTTAACAGTCTTGCTCAAAAACGAAAAGTCAAAGTCATAAACTGATATTACATAATTAAGATAGATATATGCTTTAGATGTGACAGCAACTTTTTCCTTAAAATCGGCTAATCGGAAGTGCCACTTTATATCAACGGTGAAACACATTTTTACAATTTTCTCAAAAATGGCTCTAGTTATTTTGATTAAACTCGGTGTATCATTGTATAATGAAGTGGTCTTTAATATCAATCAGGTCTTATCCCCGTTGATATCACTTTACAGGGCTTAAATGCCCAATATTCATATGTGTCTTCCTCTAAAGTACCTTTAATATAGTTTCTTTTAAATAATTACTATCTCTCATTGTTGAGATGTACGAAAGAATATTAAATATAACTTTTGAAAGAATTTGATAATTGAATAAAGAAGAAAAAAATAAAAACGCTTATCCAGGTCGAAAATGAATCTCCGGAAATACTAGTCAGAAGGTATACGTATAATAAATTGTTGGAAAGCGGAGAATTTCAGAAAAAAACAATATCTAATATAGAAAGTTGTAGCAGGTAACAGAAGGCAAAAATATTATAAATAATAATTTCTTAAAACTAATGATATTTAACATAAATCACATGTTTTCAAGAAAATCAAATGAAATTTACTGAGTGTAAACTTTTAAAAATAATTAAGTTTGAAAAGTATTTAAAATCCACCTAACCAAGGCAATCACATTGTTTAAAAAACTATTTTGTTGTACTTGTATGAAAGAAGAAGTAAAATATAAAATGATTTCATGGATGTATAAAGCATATAAAGATGTATAAAGCATAACCTTAAATACATTTACTGTAGTTTAATAATTCTATATCTGATATATTTAAATATTTAGGTATAAATGTCTGTTTATTCCAAAATATTGTCACGTAACTTTTTAGAAAATTAAATTAGTAAATAATTTGATGAATCTTCCCTTTATGATATTCCAACAGTATCCACGACTATTTCATTCTAATTGTGTGAAAGAAGAAGTGAAATATAAAAATATTTCATAGATACGTTTATAACCTTAAATATATTTACTGTAGTTTAATAACTCTAGATCTGATATTATATTTAAATATTAGGTATCTATCATCCGTTTATTCCAAAAAATCATCATGTAACCTTTTTGAAAATGAAATTAGTGAATAGTTTGATGAAATTTCCTTTTGTGATATTCCAACAGTATCCACTTACAATTAGTGTGACAACTTTTGACCTGTCTATGACAGACAATGCAAATCTCTTAATTCCATTTTATTAAACTTTGCAATGGTAAATAGCAGTTTAATAACTAATAGTCGTACAATCCATAATCAACCGGTAATATAATAAATAAGACTTATGTTGTTTTAATGGTATTTATGATTTGTCAGCTGTACTTTTTTAGCTTTAACTCAGTTAAAAATGCAATTAAAAAAATTTATAATATCCCAACATGGCCAGAAAATAATTTCTATTCAAACTTGAGTGGTAAGTGAAAGTTGTGTGTTGCGCACACCAGATTTTTTTTTAAAGGTAATGAAATTCCCTATGAAACGTATAAAAATTGTTCATTTCGGACAATTATTAACGAAGTTACAGCTATTCAATTTCATATGTAAGATTACGGGTTCATATCCTGGTTTCAGAAAGGGATGAATGAGAAAGAAAAAAGAAAACCTGAAAGTAAGAAAATCTGTTGCCCGAATCACACAAGCTTTACTGTTTCCTCTACTTTTAATAGAAATTATTGTGTGACAAAATTAGGCTATTGCAAAAAGTTTTTGATTTGCAAAGAGGGTATTGAAAATTTGAACACTGATCTACCACAAGCCGATTTACATTGCCTTTTTTTTTTTTTTCACGGCATGAGTGCAGTACGGCCATGTAGGCCTATTGTAAGCCTAGTTTGAAGTCACTTCAATTTAGAGTGTAATTCCTGCACTCTCTATGAACTGTAATAAGCTTGTTGGATTGATAAGTTCGTTTGCCTCGGGATCCTTCTCCCTATCAGTGCCGAATAAACGAAATCTTAGGCCATCAAACCCATCTCACCAGCAAGTGACATGATACGCTGTCTCATCCTCCCGGCCACAGTACCTACAAAGATACAACTGTGAGCCAGAGTTTGAGCATATGATATTTCAGTTTACAGTGCCTTGTATATGCTGCGGTAATTTTCTTTGCTCAAATTAATTAGTAATTTAGTTCTTTTTTGGCAGATTCCTTCCAGAAACAGTCTAGAGTGGATCTGATTTTTCAATAACCAGTTCCTTTCGTTTTCAACACCATATATCTCCCCGATTCTGTTTATTGTCAGACACTGACTAATACCACAGATGGGTTCCGGAGCTATGGGTGTCTTTTGAGAGCCTTGTCTGCCTAGTTCATCAGCCATTTCATTACCATGAATTCCTGAGTGACCCGGAACCCATTCAATGTATATCTTATT